GAAAGGAAAAACTCAATGCATCATGGGAATCCCCGGCAGCCTACGTCTATTGCAGCATAAATGTGCTATAGAAATAAAACTGAAACTGTAGGTTGTTCAAAGCATTTCAAGCAGCTCACCACCGTTAAAGTTTTGAGAACAACTCCAAGTCTGTTCCAGTTATTATCTTTATACCGAAGCATATCGATCATTCACTGCAACTGAACATCTTTAACAGTGTAAATAACCTTCGTGGGTGTTTGTGTTTAAGCTACTGTTTTCACTGGTACTTAACTAAAGAATGTAACCTAATTTGTAGGATTTAGAGCCCCATCTCTCCATCTTATTTCCCTAAATTTTGTAAAAAACCAATGAAAGGAGTCCACGCCCTTCTAATATTCTTCATGCGGCCCTCCTTTTAGTCCCTGTTATCTGAAAAGAGAACACTTGCCATTTTTCCCACTAGTTTTTGGTTAAAAAAGCAGCATTCAGAGCTGCAGTGGTGCAGTCTGCTGTTTGCTTCAGTGAATCACCGTCGGTCCATTTCCCTCCAGATTTTTATGAGGCCACCACACAGAAAAGCCTTCACATTAATGCTGCGGCAGCAGCGGCGGCTGTGTCGCCACAAATGTGCACAGTAAAAACAAAGTGGCACTCATTGCTGCGTTCATAGTTCTCTCAAATAATGAGTGTAAATAGCCCGTAATAGCCTGGATGAGAGCCCAAGTTATTAGCTGCTGTTTCTCCCATTGTTATTTCTAGTTTGACTCACAGAAATTAACAACTCAAGCCAGGATGTGTGTGAAGCCAGAAAATGTTGTCTTTTGCAGATAATGAGTGAGTATGTGCTCCATTAGCCACAGCTGGGGAGGACGCTAGCATCGATCTAGTGCCAGGGGCTGATTAGGCTTCTCTTTACCCCGAGGGGAAGATGTCCAGAGGAGGAGAGAGGAATCGACAGAGAAGGAAATATTCTGTTGATGGGCTCACTTCCTCACCCGCCTTGTTGTGAGGAACTACAATCTGCACTTGCCTTCATTTTCCTCCCACTTCCTCTGAACTCCAGCATCCTTCCTTTGCACTCCTCTGGTTTCTCTTATATACACTTCTCGTCTCTTGTCATCTGCATATTGACCAGGCAGTCTCATATTCAAGGCTGAGCTAATTCCTTGGCATCCAATCGGCGTCTAATTTGATCGGGTTATGAAATGCAATCCTGCTGGCGAGGGACACGACTTATTATCCGAGCCCTTGTGGGAGAGACTGGCATCACAGCTTCCCCTGTAGCACGCAGCGATTATCAGG